CCCATCAATTAATCTTCTTTCATCCCTTAATCTCTGTAACAAAAAAATATAAACTGCCATGAAAGTCATGGGCCAGTGAGAAAAATAATAGTTTCGCGGCGCACAGTGACTCCCGGTAATTAAAAATTCACCTCTCCCCTCCTAATTGAGATTAAAGGGTGAAAAAAGGGCAATTCGACGGAAAATTAAATTGTCCATTAACTAACGCTCTTTCATCCCTTAATCTTTGTAACAAAAAAATATAAACTGCCATGAAACTCAAGGGCCAGTAAGAAAAATAATTCTTTCGCGGCGTACACTGACTTGTCACCATTCGCCCGCGAATTAAAAATTTACCTCTCCCCTCCTAATTGAGATTAAGACCTGAAAAAACGGCAGTTCGACGGCGAATTAAATTCCCCATCAATTAACCCTCTTTCATCCCTTAATCTCTGTAACAAAAAAATATAAACTGCCAAGAAAGTCAGGAGCCAGTGAGAAAAATAATAGTTTCACGGCGTACACTGACTTTTCACCATTCGCCCGCGAATTAAAAATTTACCTCTCCCCTCCTAATTGAGATTAAGGGATGAAAAAAGGGCAGTTCGACGGAGAATTAAATTCCCCATCAATTAACCCTCTTTCATCCCTTAATCTCTGTAACAAAAAAATATAAACTGCCATGAAAGTCATGGGCCAGTGAGAAAAATAATAGTTTCGCGGCGCACAGTGACTCCCGGTAATTAAAAATTCACCTCTCCCCTCCTAATTGAGATTAAGGGATGAAAAAAGGGCAGTTCGACGGAGAATTAAATTCCCCATCAATTAACCCTCTTTCATCCCTTAATCTCTGTAACAAAAAAATATAAACTGCCATGAAAGTCATGGGCCAGTGAGAAAAATAATAGTTTCGCGGCGCACAGTGACTCCCGGTAATTAAAAATTCACCTCTCCCCTCCTAATTGAGATTAAGGGATGAAAAAAGGGCAGTTCGACGGAGAATTAAATTCCCCATCAATTAACCCTCTTTCATCCCTTAATCTCTGTAACAAAAAAATATAAACTGCCATGAAAGTCATGGGCCAGTGAGAAAAATAATAGTTTCGCGGCGCACAGTGACTCCCGGTAATTAAAAATTCACCTCTCCCCTCCTAATTGAGATTAAGGGATGAAAAAAAGCCAGTGCGACTGAGAATTAAATTCCTCATCAACTGCCCTTTTTTCATCCCTTAATCTCAATTAGGAGGGGAGAGGTGAATTTTTAATTACCGGGAGTCACTGTGCGCCGCGAAACTATTATTTTTCTCACTGGCCCATGACTTTCATGGCAGTTTATATTTTTTTGTTACAGAGATTAAGGGATGAAAGAGGGTTAATTGATGGGGAATTTAATTCTCCGTCGAACTGCCCTTTTTTCATCCCTTAATCTCAATTAGGAGGGGAGAGGTGAATTTTTAATTACCGGGAGTCACTGTGCGCCGCGAAACTATTATTTTTCTCACTGGTCCATGACTTTCATGGCAGTTTATATTTTTTTGTTACAGAGATTAAGGGATCAAAGAGGGATCATTGATGGGAAATTTAATTCTCCGTCGAACTGCCCTTTTTTCATCCCTTAATCTCAATTAGGAGGGGAGAGGTGAATTTTTAATTACCGGGAGTCACTGTGCGCCGCGAAACTATTATTTTTCTCACTGGCCCATGACTTTCATGGCAGTTTATATTTTTTTGTTACAGAGATTAAGGGATCAAAGAGGGATCATTGATGGGAAATTTAATTCTCCGTCGAACTGCCCTTTTTTCATCCCTTAATCTCAATTAGGAGGGGAGAGGTGAATTTTTAATTACCGGGAGTCACTGTGCGCCGCGAAACTATTATTTTTCTCACTAGCCCATGACTTTCGTGGCAGTTTATATTTGTTTCTTACAGAGATTAAAGGATGAAAGAGGGTTAATTGATGGGGAATTTAATTCTCCGTCGAACTGCCGTTTTTTCATCCCTCCATCTCAATAAGGCGGTGAGAGGTGAATTTTTGATTTGCGGGCGAATGGTGACAAGTCAGTGTGCGCCGCAAAAAAAAATATTTTTCTTACTGGCCTCTGACTTTCATGGCAGTTTTTATTTTTTTGTTACAGAGAGTAAAGGATGAAAGAGGGTTAATTGATGGGGAATTCAATTCTCTGTCGAACTGCCCTTTTTTCATCCCTTAATGTCAATTAGGAGGGGAGAGGTGAATTTTTAATTACCGGGAGTCACTGTGCGCCGCAAAACAGTTATCTTTCTTACTGCTCTGTGATTTTCGTGACAGTTTCTTCCATTTTTTACAGAGATTGAGGGATGAAAGAGGGTTAATTGATGGGTAATTTAGTTCTCCGCCAAACAGCCTTTTTTTCATCCGATAGAAAGAGAGAGGAAGAGAGAGCGAACGGCTGACGAAAAACCTCAAATGATTCTTTTTCTCGCATTCAGTCCGTGATGTTCCATAGGCCCATGCGCGCATGCGCAAATGGTCGGAACAATGCTGTAGGGAGTGGGAGCGAGACGGAGACTTCCCTCTCGCACAAAAGGTTCTCATTCTCGGCGCCGGATTTAGGGGTTGTAGCTAGAAAATTGCGTTTTTAACTCGGCGTAACTCGCAGTAACTTTGAATCCATAGGAGATTCGCGGGTACGATCTAGACAAAATTTGTGGTAAATGTTCTAATAAAAAATATGGAAGAAAATAAAAAAGAAATTCATCGATTCAATGTCAAGATATAAATAGCAACATATAGTAAATTCGCTCTGAATAAATAAACAAGCTATTGAAAAAAAACGCCGATATTCCGAATTACAAAAAAAAAAAAATTCATTAATTTCAATTTTTTTAATGGAAAACATTTTTTTTTCCATCTGATCTTCACGCGGCTCTGGGGGATGAACGGTTGGGAATAGGGGTAAAGTGCCCCGAATATTTTTTGTGTAGAATTTTAAGCTCTACAACTTTGTATAGCACGTTTTTGGACGTACAGCGCGTTATTCACGAGTTATTTCGAAAAAAACTGTTTTCAGGGGTATTTTTTTGGCTTTTTCAACCCCCGCACAAACTTGGGGAACCTTAAACATCTGCCATTAGTTTCATACGCCCAAATCACAAATTGTATCAAAAATGGAGCCTGATTAGCAAACATTCGTATGTTAGACCTTCGTTCATTGGACTACTCCGGACTCACTCGACGCCGGAGAGCCGTTCGGGGTTTCTCCGCGCTTTTGAAAATTCATTCCTCCGTTCCTAACTGAGATTAAGAAATGAAACCGATGTCATTCATTAAAAATAAAATTCTCAATCGGTAAGCTTTGGTTTCATTACTTCATCTCAATTAGGGAGGGGAG